AGGGGCGGGGCCGCGCTGCGGGAAGCACCGGCCCGGGCCGCGAGGTAGGGGCGAGGTGGGCGCGAGGTGGGGACCCAGCGCCGCGGGCGAGGCACCGCTGGCCAGGGCTGACCTGCAGCAGGAGGAGGTCGTGGTCGATGGTGTCGGGACTGCTGTCTGGGTGGGGCACTGAGCGACTCACGTCATACAGGCGCTTGGAGGGCTCGGGCCGCGACAGGGAGTGCGCACCCAGCAGCACCTGCACCTTGCCGTCCCTGGGGACATGGGGGGTCCGCGGTCAGAGCCGCGCCCCGCATGCCCCCCAGCCCCGCCCAGCCCCGCACTCACGCCTCCTCCAGGCAGTGCGCGGCGCTCAGCACCCACTGCGCAGCCACCAGGACGCCGCCGCACAGGTGTCTGCCGTCCACCTGCACCGACGCCATGTAGGGCCGCGCGTGGGCTTCGGCCTCCTGGCCGCCCAGGATCCGGCCGCGGGGCTGCGCCGCTGCGTTGGGGAGAGGGGTGTGAGGACCAAGGTGCAACACCCCCGCAGGCCCATCACTGTCAGGTGCAGTTCTGAGCAGCAGCAAACCCAGACACCTAGGAGGGTGAGGGATGCCCAAAACAGCCAGAGGGATTGGTGGGGTCTGGGCCGAACTCCAGCACCACACCCTGACCTAAGGACTTCAGTTAAACCCAAGAAAAGTGGAGCGACTAAAGCTAATACCCCTGCCAGCCCCGAAAGCCCCACAGGCCTTCTATGATAGGACTTTAGATTCTTGCTGTGGACAAAGACTTCTGAAGGCTCAGATTTCAAGATTCAAAGTTTTGAGAATCTTTGACTTTTTTGTTAGTGTTGTTTCTTTCTTGAGATAGGGACCCACTAAGCCGCCCACGCTGGCCTCTAACACGTAGCGATTCTCCTGCCTCATCCTCCTAAGTGCTGGGATGACAAGCATGTGCCATCACACCTGGCTCCTTGACTTTTGAAGCTGTCTGTTTGTGGGACTGGGGGACCTCAGGCCAGTCCCGCACTCCCCAGGCCCACTCACCACACACTGCAGCTCCCAAGAGGAGCAGAACCGCCAGGCCCGCCATGGTGATCACAGACTGGACACTGATCCAGGCGGGGCTCAGGGCCTTTTATGGGGGTGGAAGGGGCGGGCACCTCCCAGGGGCCCCATCTGCACCGTGGGCTTGGGCCCAGCTGGGGAAAAGGGAACCACCCACAACCCCATCCTCCCCCAGCTTGTCATCTCCCTGCCAGACCTGGGGACAGGCCAAGGGGTCCCTCCTACCCTAGGGGGTCTAGCCAGAGTCTACCCTGGTGAGGGTGCCCCCTGGGGATGGCCAGGAAAAGGTGACCTGGGCTGCCCACCCTGGCCCACGTGTCCCCCAGACCACAGTGTCCTTCCAGCCCCAAATTTCACAATAGCAGCTGGAGGCCCAAGCCTGTAAACAACTCACTTCATCTTTTTTTTCCGGTACCAGGAATCGAACTCACGACCTCACGCTTGCTAGGCAGGCGCTGTGCCACTGAGCTAAATCCCCAGCCCCAACGCGCTTCATCTTTCCCTCCCTCCTTCTATTCTCTGGGAGTGAGGGGAATGCTTCCTAATGCCCCTGTGGGCTTGGGGTGGCCTGGCACCCCAACAAGCAGAGAGTTGCAAAGAAGGAATGAAGGGATGGCAGGAAGAGATGCTCAGATACAAGTGATAGAAAAGAAAAGTGAAACCAATGCAGCCATCACTAAAGAAAGCACAGAGATATCTGCCTTCAGGTATGGTTTGATCCAGGTGCCTGGATGAGGTTAAGTATCCATTTCTGGTTCCTCCTTTCTTCTTTAATAACTTCTCTGCCCACCAGGCTCCCCTGTTGTTTTCCCAGGGAGCCCAGACTCTGCAGTGGCTCCATGAGCCCCTCCTAAAATTTCCCATCACAACAGCCAAATTCTCAGGGCTACTTCTTTTTTTTTTTTTTTTTTTTGGTTTTTCTCCAGTACCGGGAACCGAACTCACGACCCTGCGCTTGCCAGGCAGGAGCTTTTGCCGCTGAGCTAAATCCCCAGCCCCTCTCAGGGCTACTTCTGATTGGCTGAGTGAGGATCAGGTGCTCCCTCCTGAGCTGACCCCTGGACACCAGTTTTGATGTGCAGAGTCTGAGTCAATGGCCCTCTGTGAGGTGAGAGTTTGGGCTGGCATCTCACGAGCCAAGGGCAAGGAGGGACGGTACATCGGGAGACCCTGAGACTCCCCCACAGGAGCAGCACACTCTCTCTCTCCATCTCTGCTTGTCTTCTTTCACCGTGAACTACTCCATACATACAGAGTAGGAAATGGGCAGGCGTGGTGGCACACACCTGTGATCCCAGCATCTGGGAGGCTGAGGTAGGAGGATGATTGTGAGTTTGAGGCCAGCCTGGGCTCCAGAGTGAGTTCAAGGCCAATCTGGACTACAGAGTGAGACCCTGTCTAAAAGAAGAGAAAGAGGGAGGAGGGGAGAAAGAGGAGGAGAAGAGAAAATAACCAGGTGTGGTCGTGCACGTCTGTTATCCTCTGGGAGGCTAAGGCAGGAATATGACAAGTTCAATCCCAGCATAGGTATTTAGCAACTTACTGAGACCCTGTCTCAAAAGATAAAATAAAATGCGCTGGGGATAGCCAGACATGGAGGCACATGTCTGTAATCCCAGCACTCGGGAGACTGCGGCAGGAAGATTGCTGCAAGTTCAAGGCCAGCCTGGGGTACAAAGTGAGCTCAAGTTCAGCCTGAACTGTATAGTGAGACCTTGTCTCAAAAAGACAAAAAAAAAAAAAAAGTGTGCTGGGGATGTAGCTCAATGTGAAGGCTCCGGGTTCAACTCCCAGTACTGGAGAAAAGAAAAAGCAAATGTGATTTATCAGAACCTCCCATATTTCCTTATGAAAATCAGAAGATCTGGGGGCTGGCGGGTGTAGCTCAACAGTACAGCGCTTGCCTAAAATCAGAAGATCTGGGCCACATGCCTTTTAGGATGGATCCCAGATTGTGCAAGGAAAAATGTTCAGATTGCAGCAACACTTGGTCACAGCCCAGGGCCCAGCAGGACACCCAGGCTGTAACCCTCTGCTGCAGGGACACTGAGGACATGCGCAGATCTCTGGGGTGGACCATCTCCCTCAGCAGGGGCCAATGCAGAATGAGGTGCCCCCAGGGGGCAGAGCGGGCCTGGGGCCCAAGGCCCTCAGGTGCAGGCTGTAGCCATGGGCCAGGGCCTGGGTCCTATCCACAGTCACGAGGAGACGCAACCACTCCATGGTAGTTTGTTTTTCCTGTTTCTTTTCTTTCTTTTTTCCCTTCTGGGTTTTTTTTTTTTTTTTTCTGTACTTGGGGTGGACCCAGGGCCTTTGCACTGAGCTGCATCCCCAGCCCTTTTTATTTTTTATTTTGAAAGAGGTCTTGCTATGTTGCTGAGGCTGGACTCAAACTTGACATTCTCCTACCTCAGCCTCCTGAGTAGCTGGAACGGTAGGGGTGATGTGCCACCACACCCGGCTTGTACTTTTCTTGTTTATCTGCCTGCTGGCGTGGCACAGGATGGCAGGAGCTGTGTCACAGTCCCCACCCATGGCCTCAGAGGGCTTCTTCGCAGAGACCTCCCCCAGGGTGTGACCTCCATCCAGGACCAAGGCTGCCTTGGGCTCCACTCTACTGCCCAGACCCAGGCTCCTAAGGTAGGCCCCCTCTGCACCTGTTCCCTGTCTGTGAAGGGATGGGACTGCAAGGGCTGGAGTGGCCACACTGCAGACTCAGAAAGACACCTGAGCCTGTCCGCACCAACCCACCAGGCTCTCTGATCTCATGAAGTGAGATTTTTTTGGTTTTTGTTCTTTTGCAGTGCTGAGCCTGGAACCCAGGGCTTGGTGCATACTAAATGCTCTATCCCTGAGCTGCATACCCAGTCCTTGTCGTTTTTTTTTTTACTTTGAGAAAAGATCTTATGAATTGCCCAGGCTGGGCTTGAACTTGTGATCCCCCTGCCTCAGCCTCCCTACTGCCAGATGACAAGCATGAGCCAGCACATCTGGTGAGAGTAAGTTTAATAGAACAAAACCCAGAAATGGCATGCTGGATCTTTTGTGAAAAGTCGGAGGAAAGTTGGGTGTAGTGGTACATGCCTGTAATCTCAGCATTCAGGAAGCTGAGGCAGGAGGATCACCTCAAGTTCAACGCTAGCCTGGGATACATAGTAAGTTCAAGGCCAGCCTGAATGATTTAGCTAAACAAAACAACAAAATGTCAGAGTAGGGGAAAGGTGGGTGTCTTTTCCTAGCCCCACCCTGACTTTGCAACCACTTGGTGGCAGTGTCCTCGACACCCCAGCCACTGCACCCAACAGGGACTGCACCAGCAACAGGGACACCCGGCTCGCTGTACAGAAGAGTGGCTTTTATTGTGCCAGATGTGAGGAGCGCTGTCACGGGCAGTCGAGGTGAAGAGGCGGAGGTGACCCATTCCTAGCCGGTCCTGCTCACGGGGACTCTGGGGTGGGGCCGGGGCCATACTGGCCAGGGTGGATGATAGAGTTGATCCAGTCTATGAACTTCGCCACCGGCGCAAAGGCATCTGGGTAGAAGCCTGAGCCACAGCCCCCGCGGATGAAGGAGTCGATTCCCTGGACCAGCCCGTTGCAGACCAAGGGGCCACCGGAGTCTCCCTGAGGAGGGGTCAGGAGCTGGACCATGTGGCCTCCCTCCCGCTCACCCGCCCTGGGCAGTCCTCCCTGTAGGCTGACCACAGTCCCTGCTGCTGAGCCAGGAAGGTGTGGGGGACTCACAAAGCAGATCCCAGCCTGGCGGCGCGGCACCAGGGTGCAGACGTTGACGCGGCGGCGACACTGGGACGTCACCACGGTCACATTGAGCTCCTGCAGGACACTCGGGATCGGGCGGTTCGTGCCCAGACGGCCCCAGCCCATGGCCAGGCATCTCGTCCCGCTCCGCACGCCACGGCCCTGAGCAGGCAGCTGGGCCACCTGGACGTTGGCATTGATCGTGGCTGACCCGTTGAGCTACAGAGGGGAGACCAAGAGCCAGGGTGTCACATGGGAGCAGTGGGCAGCTTCCCTCCCTGCACCTGGCCTCAGTTTTCCCATCTGAGGCTGCCCTGTGGTTCTGGTCACTTGCTAGACAGGATCCCACCAGACCTCAGTTTCCTCATCTGCAAAGTGGGAGCTCTTGGTGCAGCTAAGGCTGTCCTTGAGCACAGTAAACAGTAGGTGCTCAATAAATCAAATTATGGGCCACACAAATGAAAACAAAAGTCTCCTCCCAAACCTTCTCAGGAAATAGAATTTTGCACACAGTGACTTAGCATGGCAAGGAGTTTCTCCCCCAGTCTCCTGTCGGTCTTAATAAAGGTGAGATTTTTAACCTGTTTTCCAAGCTGACACAGTCTCTGCCCCTGGCCACGGGCTGACAAAAATACAGACTTCACCAAAATAATGTATACAGGCTCCAGCAGTTCATCACACTAATAAATATCTGGAAGCCAATGGGCACCTTCTGAGCAACTCTTGTAATTGTAGAGGCCAAAAGTAACTTGTATCCATCTCATGATGTCTCAAGAAATTTAGTATTACAATATTTATACAAGTTTTGCTTTGCCTGATGTATATACCTTTTTTTGGTGGACTCTGTAACAATGGTTTATCACCATGTGTGTGATGCCATATGCCTGTCATCCTAGCCCTGGGGAGGATGAGGCAGGAGGATTTCTAGGAGTTCAAGGCCAGCCTGAACTACATAGCAAGATTGTCTCAAAAAAAAAAAAAAAAAGTTTGTTGACTGACAACTCCTGGGAACTTTCCTGCAGTATCATCTCATTTAATTCCTCCACAGCAGTCCAGGGAAGCATTAACCTCCCATTTCAATTGAGGCTCAGAAAGGGAACGAGCCACCCTGCTACCACCACGTGTCATAATGGACTCCACGATGAGACCCCAGCATGTCCCCCAGCCCACTTCTGCCCTCCCCAACCTCAGTACCTGGAGAATCACGATGTCATTGAGCAACAGCGTAGGGTCAAAGCCATTCTCAAAGATCCGCTCCACACTGAAAGTCTGCCGGGTGGGCTCCTGCTGCCGCAGGTCATGCGCGCCCAGCACCACCTGCACTGACCGGAAGTTTCTGCAGGGTGGGGAAGGTAGATGACCCTGAGGGCTAGGGTAGCAAGGGGACCTCAGAGACCCCCATGCCCTGCCTGGGGTGCAAGGGGAGCTCCTCCTCCCTGTGATCCCCTGGCCTTTCACACGTCTGTCATCCCAGCATTGGGGAGGCTGAGGCAGGAGAGTCACTGTGAGTTTGAGGCTAGGCTGACCAGTATAATGAGTTTAAGGGCAGCCTGAACCACACAGCAAGACCCTGTCTCCTCTCCAGGGTTCAGAGGAGTCCTTGGGAGCCCCCGGGGGCTCAGGACGGGCCCTGAAGGAACTCACAGGCCGTTCACGCAGTGCGCAGCCGACATCACGAAGCTCCTGGCGATCAGCGTTGCGCCGCAGAAGTGGCCTCCACGCCGCTGCAGCGACACCATGTAGGGCCTGGAGTGGGGCCGAGCTGGGCGGCCACCCACGATCTCCGAGGCCAGCGTGGGTCCTGGGGCGCAGGATGAGGGAACTGAGCCGTGGAGAGAAGAGGGCAGACCTGCGTCCCCACCCCACCCCGTCAAGGCTCAGCCTGGCCTGAGCGCCGGGAGGGCGCAGGGAAACACAGTTCACACACACACACATGCGCACACAGGCACACACACGCACGCGCACACACACACCCCGCCCTGGAGCCCAGGCACGAGCCGGGGAAGGACCCTGGGGACAGACAGGCAGGTGCCACTCACTGCCCAGCAGCAGGGCCAGCAGCACGTAGGTGAGGGCGGGCCTGCGCGCTCGGTGGCCTCGGGTCATGGTGCGGCCAGGGCTCCGGGGCCTCTGGCCCACCCCGGCCACCTCCCCTCTTATAGCTGGAGCTGGGAAGCCGTTGCATTGCCCCATAGTGCTGGCACCCCCACTTCCTGTCAAGGTGCAAAGTGGGCTGAGGAGCTAGGGTAGCTGGCGGGGCCCAAAAAAACCCGTGACACGCAAACTTAAATGTCGGGTAACAGCCTCTTTCCTCCGGCTTGCTTGCTTTCTTCCTTTCTTTCTTTTCCATGAGACAGAGTCTTGCTATATAGTCCAGGCTGGCCTTGAACTCACAGCAATCCTCCTGTCTCAGCCTCCCAGGGCTGGGATGATAGGTGTGTGTCACCACCACACCTGGTGTAAACAGCCTTTTCCTTTTTTTCACTTTTTTTTTTTCTTTTCTTTTTTAGACAGGGTCTCACTATGTACTGCAGGCTGGCCTTGAACTCAATATGTGGCCCAGGCTGGCCTCAAAACTCATGATGATCCTCCTGCCTCAGCCTCCCAAGTGCTGGAATTACAGGTGTGCATCACCACACCTGGCTAACAGTTTTTTCTTTACTATACACCAGTCACTGGTACTGCACGGGATGTATTTATCTACAGATTTAGTCATTGTTAGGAGGTTGTGGTGCTGGTCTGTCATCCCAGCTGCTCAGGAGGCTGAGGCAAGAAGAATCCACATAGGAGCCCACTCTGGGCAACTCAGCAAGACTCAGTCTCAAAATGAAAAAAAAAGCTAAATAAATAAATGCTGGGGGTGCATCTCAGTGGTGAGCCCCTGCCTAGCATGTAGGAGGCCTTGGGTTCCATCCCTAGCATGCACGCGTGCACACACACACAAGGATCGCTTCATCTGGCCCTCAGGTGTAACTGGAAATCCTGTAGTTTTGCTAACCTGGACCTGAGTGTACCCAGGGCGCCACAAAAGCAACAAGTGATTGTGCTAAGCATTCCCAGGGCTGTTTCTGACATTTCTCTGGGGCTCTCTGCCAGGGTCTCACGTGAGGTGGGGAAACTGAGGCACACCTCAGGCCTGGCGCAAGCAGCATAGCCCTGTCACCCCTTTCAGTGGAGAGGTACTAGGGATTGAACCCAGGGTCTTCCAGCTGAGCTACTTCCCCAGTGTTTTTTGTTTTGTTTTGCTTTTTATCTTTTTGAGACAGGGTCTCACTATGCAGTTCAGGCTGGCCTTGAGCTCACTTTGTAGCCTAGGCTGGTCTTTTTCTTCTTTTGTACCGGGAATCAAACTCAGGACCTTGCACTTGCCAGGCAGGCACTTGTACCCCTGAGCTATATCCCCACCCCTCAGGCTGGTCTTGAACTCGCAACGATCCTCCTGCCTCAGCCTCGGAGTGCTGGGGTTACAGGCACGCGCCCCTACACCTGGCTAATTTTTTTATTTTGAGACAGCTCTCACTCAGTCACTCAGCTGCCCAGGCTGGACTAGGACTTGCAATCCTCCTGCCTCAGCCTCTGTAGTGGATTGACAACTGGTGGTCAACTTATAACCCCCAGCTGAACTGAGTAAGCGTGGTGCTGGGTGTAGGAGGCCCACCTGAGGACTGTTGTCAGCAGCATAAGAGGTAGAACTGGAGAAGAAGAAGAAAGGCTTTTGGGAACTAAAGAGGCTGCTGGGAGCTGAGAGAGGTTGTTGGAAGCTGTAAGGAGCTGTGGTTGTTTTGGAGGAGCTCGTCATGCTGGCTTTCTTGATGAACTTGGCTGTTTT